GCAAAGGCATACTGTGGCAGACCTCTCTGCCTTTGGATTATTACTGTTTTGTCTGTTTGTTCAGTATTTGCCGGTTGTTCGTATGGTTCTGCTTTCATTCACCTAAATATGAATGAACTACCAAACGGGAGGCCACCCAGCAGGGAAGTGTGCTGCTCATTAACCCTTCTGTCCTCATTAACATTGTGGTTAACCGCAGACACTTCCAACTCCTGAACGGTCGGCTGGGTGGTCGTCGTTCGTATGAACGAACACGTGGCGGCGGCCATCTTGGACAGCCGAACGCTGACAAACTCGTGGAACTAATTTCGGATACTACTTCCCACAAACACCGCTGAAATCACTGACCCTTCATCGTTCTGTTCAAGGTTCATACGAACGCCGTGCCATTCGGTAAATTGACAATGCACGAACAGAACTACCCAGATAGCCATCCCATGGAGCTCATTTGTTTAATTGAAAACACCCTATACATGGCTCCCTGGCAATTGAACTACATGTATGGGATCTGAGCGCTGTTCGGTTATATTGAGTGCTCAGATCTAAGCTTTCTGGAGATACGTTGAATGTGTGGGTTCTGTTCGGTATATTTGGAAAAATATAATATGGAGGATATTCTCTATCCCTGGAGGTAATTGAGTTACTTATAGCACTTAACCCAATTATCTCCAGGATAGAGAGGAGGAGTTGTAATGTTCATGTGGGAGTGTATAATACTGTAAATGTATGTGATTGGTTGCTGTACAAAACTGTCTCAGTCTTCCACAAGGTCCCTATGGGAGTGTCCCTTGCTGGAAGACCTGCATAAAGGCTTGCATTTAGCCCACATTAAACAGATCCTGCTTGACCCTCAATACAGAGCCTCGTCTCGTACTTGGGGGGATTATGCATGTGTTTCCTGTTCGGCGCTTAGGAGTGTTCGGTAGCTGACTTTGTATTCGGGAAAGGGAACAGCTTGGCAGCATTAACTCCTTCTATACACGTGGTGCCGTTACACATACATTGGGTGTATTGTTTTATTCACAAGATTTTGCTGAGCATAATTTAGGTTTTTTGATCATAGTTGCACATATCAGATTTACAAAGTGCAAAATTTAGGCTAAAATAAGATAGCTGTGACTACAGTTGACATGGAGAATTTTCCAAAATCAGCATCTTTTGGTCTTAATTTTACAATATTATTTAAAGTTCACTGACTTCATTCTAGGCAGAAGAAGTCTAAATGTATGCTTCTTTGTAAAATAAAAATAAAAAAACAAAATAAAAAAAAACACATACACACAAATAAATAAAATATATTTTTATATGTAATTTCTTAAGCAGTTAATATAAAAATTTAACCAAGAATTAGATACAAAAACAGCTGATTATAAACAATACTAAAATCAAAAGTATCTATTGATTATATACATGTTTAGTTGTTAAATCATATGCATAACATACAGTAAACCATAGTTTATATTTGAAAGTTAAGTCGATATATTAAAATTGACCTGAAGCAATATTAATTTAATCATTTTTTTTTTTTTACATTCTTACATATTCCTCTGAAAACAATTGTAGCTGTGAGAATTCCATGCCACATGTTACCTTGTGGCTTGATAGTTACCCTCAATCCCAGGAGTATGATAATCTTGTAATAAACCTATAAAAATAATTGTATTAGAGGCTGAGAGCAAAGAAGAAGCTATCTGATGTTCAGTTTGTTTAATACGTTTAGTTAGATTTTAAATATATATTATTATAATTTTTATTTTTCTTTACATCAAAGAGAAGGGCATATTGATAATGTGTGCACATTTAACATATGGATGAAGCACTAAATATCTTTAACTATTTCTATGGGACCTGAGTAAGAATATTATATGAAACATTTAGGAAGACAAGTACTTTAGCATGTATTATTATATTTTTCATTATTTAAGACAGGAAATATTGTGCAGTACAATGTTGTTACACAAATGTAAACTTGTGTTTTTGATTCTTTAATTAGATTGAAATGAAGTTCTTATGTTTTAAAAATGTCTTTATGAATAGAATATCCAAAGCATGCAGAGTAGTAACTGCTAGTTAGAGTGTTGAAGGTTAACCCAGTACAAGTGTGATAATAAAATATTGATCCCCAAATCACTAGTTGTCTTTCAGACAATCCCATCGTATTCAATGTACATGCCACATTTCTGTCCATCATGGGCTGACTTTCACACTAAGAGATCTCAAATTAGCCTAATTATAAAGATAGTTACATAGTTATTTAATAATAATGGCTGAAGAAAAACCTGTGTCCTTCAAATTCAAGCTTTAAAAGGACACTATAGTCACAAATAACACTACATCTTAATTTAGTGATTTTGCTGTCTATAGCCAGTCCCTGCAGGTTGAGCACTACAAACACGAGAAAAGGCACTCGGACTGCCACTAGAGGTGCTCTCTAGTCCAGTGCTGCACGGTTTGTGGAGTGAAGGCTAGCCCGTCTGGTCCGATCTCACAGAAGGGCTATTGTAGCTCAAATTGCTGAAAAACATAATGCTGATCATGATAGAAATGTGTCAGAATGCACAGTGCATCACTGTGAAGGGACCAAATTAAATATAGTTTCTATTGAAACATAGTATTAGAATACATCTATTCCTTACTTCCTTCTCCAGAGCAACTAAAGACAATGTTATAAGGAATTTCTCTGGTTATTTATTCTATAAATTAGTTTGCTCACTGATAACTGTATAGAACTATATTATCATAGCTGGGCTATATGTTCAAATAAGTTCGCTCACAATAATTATTGGTTGGTGTACGTTGATTGGAGGAGTATTACATGATTATTAATATTTTGATGAATCATGTCTGTTAGCAATTTTCTAAGTTGAGCACAGAAATATTGTTGGCTGTTTTGATATTTTATTTGATAATAAGCTTTTCTCTGGTGAATTGGCTATCTATTTAAAAGAATAGTTTTGCAAATGTGCTGAAAAGTAGTCATTCATTTGCTCTGTTTGTATTATTGACTCACAGTTACATACTTGCATAGGCTCGAAGGAGATGTGTGTCCATCAAGGTTAGACTTTCTCAAATCTGTTTTTTCCTGAACATTATGTTTTTGCAAGCATTAATGCAGTTGCTGTTTAAATATGTGTACACACTATAATAAAACTACCCCTTCATCCAGATACTTCCACATCATTATTGTTCTTACTGGAAAAACCTCTTTCCTTTGCCTTGGGCTAAATCTCCTTTATTCCAGTCTAAATTAATGATCTATATAGAGTCCTCCTTATATATAGATTTCCAAACAATGCTTTGTTTTAGTCCTTAATATATTTGCATATTGCTATCGTATACCCTCTGTGGTACCATTTTTCTAAACTAAACAGATTCAAACTTGTTAACCACGCTACGTAACTAAATTCTTCCATTCATTTTATAAATTTTTTGGCACTTTTTCTAGTGCCAGAATATCCTTCAATAACACAGGTTCACAGCATTTTTAAGATATTGTCGTACCATTGATGTGTTGCTAACCCTCATTCACTACCATTTAGGGTGTAAGTAGCTTGTGCTTTATTCATGCCGAATAGCATAACTTTCCATTTATCTACATTGAATTTCATCTGCCATTTGAGTGCTTAGTCCCCCCATCTATCTAAATCCATGTACAGCAAAGTAATATACTGTTCAAATTGAGAGAAAATAATAATAAGGTGGGGTGGAAAACCACTCACTCAAAGTAGGCGGTAACTACTCCACCTGGGAGGACCTCCAGGAATTTAAAATATCATTACATACATAGTTACATAGCTGAAGAGAGAATTGCATCCATCAAGTTCAGCCTTCCTCACATATGTTTTTGCTGTTGATCCAAAAGAAGGCAAAAAACCCAGTCTGAAGCGCTTCCAATTTTGCAACAAACTAGGAAAAAATTCCTTCTTGACCTCAAAATAGCAGTCAGATGTCTCCTTGGATCAAACAGCTATTACCCCACTAATGAGAAATTATATCCCTGTATGTTATGTTTTTGCAAGTATTTATCCAATTGCTGTTTAAACATCTGTATAGACTCTGACAAAACCACCTCTTCAGGCAGAGAATTCCATATCCTTATTGCTCTTACTGTAAAAAAAACTTTTCTTTGCCTTAGATGAAATCTCCTTTCTTCCAGCCTAAATGTGTGACCCCGTGTCATTGTAGTGGTATAAACCTTTATTAATATAGATAAATGGATAAGCAAATAATAAGTACAAAAATTATATGTGCAAACCCAATTGGTATAAAAAAAATCAAATCTATCATAGTGATGCACCTTTAAAATACTGGGGGAGTTCATCTCAAGTGCCAAATTCATATACTAGAGGAACTTGTGTAAACACAATATAAATCCTTGATTGGATTGGTAAGCATATAGATACCTCTAGAGTATATGAATAGTAATTGGTTAAGTCTGAGAAATAAAGAGACTGTATGGAGCAACAGGTGGGGGAACCAGAATTGGTAATAATCTCACACTATGTATCAACTTCACTCTAACGCGTATGGTGATGGATACATGAAGTTAAACAAAGTTACACTTCTGTGCTTTTGCTTAGTCCTAATGGATTTATAGCTTATACATAATCCCACATCTAATGGGTGCAGAAACGAGGGTACACCATAGCAAGACAGCAAGGAGATTAAAGCTTCATGCACCCCAAAGCTGGAGGAAGCTAGATGTTAATGTAATTATCAAGTTAACATAGTAGAGGGTAGCCGGTAGTCAATGCCATCCAGAGGGGGAATAGCACATAGCTTTGTTCCACGGCAGCTAATTGATAGTTCCCTCCTGCCTATGATAGTAAAGACCATGAGAAATAATCTATGCCGAAAGTCTAAATCTAATAGAGAATCTTCCCACTGCTGCTTCAAGGCAGCCTATCTAATCAGTCACCACTTAGTCTATAACAGTCAAACAGTAATTTCGGTTCAGAACCATATTAACCTAGACAGGACAGACATCCCAGATTACAAAAGTTAAAAGCAAAGTGAGTGCATCGGCAAGAAAATCGCTGATTTGCTTTTAACTTTTTGTTATCTGGAGGGCGCTTTTCTTGCCGATGCATTCACTTTGCTTTTAACTTTTTGTTATCTTTAAGGGGCGATTTTCTTGCCGATGCACTCACTTTGCTTTTAACTTTTTGTTATCTGGGATGGCTGTGATTATCTATGAGAAGCCGTTGAATGGACCTCAGCCTCCATGACAGGGGTACGATGAGCAGAACAAGAGAGCTTGCCCAGTAATGCCTATAGGGCATTTTTCTATCCTAACTTAAAAATGGTTAGAGAAACTCTTTAATAACTGATCACCGTGTTATTGCTATAGTCTGTAAAGTGTTCTGGGTGAGGACACTGTTTAATATTTGTGAGATAAATAAAGATTTCATAAATTTGCTTCCCATCGCCGTAGAAAGATATCTGCTGGTGCTTGTATATATAGCAACGTAAAATAATATTTACATTTTCTAATCATTAATTTATATTCATGACATCATATTTAATCTCCAATAAATGCCTGAATTAATCTGATTTCTCATATTTGTTGTTACAGTTATTAATATTCCATGGGAAATTGGAACCAGACTTCTCTAACAGAATTTATTTTAACTGGACTTTCTCCGAACTTGGGGATTCAACTATTCCTTTTTGTTTTGTTTTTATTAATGTACGTATTAACCGTTTGTGGGAATATTGTTTTAATATGTGCAGTTCTAGTCAGCTCTCATATGCACACTCCGATGTACTATTTTTTATGCAATTTATCATTTCTTGATTTGTTCTACATATCAATTACTGTCCCAAAAATGTTATCTGACATATTTATTATAGGAGGGGGAAGGATTTCATTCATTGGGTGCATGGTACAAATGGACATCAGTCTTTTTCTGGGAGAAACTGAATGTATCCTGCTTGCAGTAATGGCGTATGATCGCTATGTAGCAATATGCCTTCCTCTGCATTACATGGTCATTATGAGCCGGAAGGTGTGTAAAAATATTACAATTATTATGTGGCTAGGTTGCTTTACATTAACTACTCTTCCTTCCATCTTAAAACCACTCACATTCTGCTCTAGAAACAAGGTTAATCATTTTACCTGCGAGAGTTTAGCAATTCTAGAACTTGCATGCGGAGACACGTCATTTCATGAAACGCTGATCTTTTTTGCAAGCATGTTTACACTTTTATCACCGTTTGCTTTCATTCTCACAACATATCTCTGCATTATAAGATCAATATTGAACATTACATCTGTGACTGGAAGGAATAAAGCTTTTTCCACATGTGCCTCCCATCTGACTGTTGTATTGCTGTTTTATGGGACCAGCATGAATATGTACATGGGGCTAGGAAAAGCCTTTCCAGAAAGTCAAAAATATGTCAGCATTATTTATGCTATTGTAACTCCCATGTTAAACCCTTTGATTTACAGTTTGAGAAATAATGATGTGAAAGTTGCAGTTAAAAAAATGTTTGGTCAATAAATAACATACTTCAGCACGTTCATAAACTTACTACATTGTATAACTCGTTCTGCCACTTAGTGCTATGACGTAATTACTTGAGCCCCCATTATGTCATGGTAAAATAGCTAAAATTGCTATCGCTGGAGTCCACATCCACCCTTCATCTTTCCAGTTTTTTTGTGAAGTTCCCACCCTAGAATATGAGAAGCTCTCCGTAGCTGTTCCCACCTCCTATAACGTCCGATCCAGTACCAGCCAAACTGCACCAACCCTGAACATATTAACTTAATAAATAAATAGATAGATAACCTTTAATATATTGACTTGATCATATGTCTTTGTAATCAAACCAGAATGCACAACATGATTATTTTCATTCACAGAGAACATTTTAAGTCTTTATTAAAACATTTTTAGAGATTAGGTAAATAATACATGTTATATTAATTTGCTACCAATGCTTGCTCAATTCGATGTAGCGCACAGAAATGCCATTTTTGAAGCATTTGTAAATATATTTTTAGCTTATAATGCTCTGGATAAAGACACATTTTTATCCTTAGATTGAGCATAATATACATTGTACATCTTTGATTATAGTTTATATGTTTAAACTTATCTAACTATGTCTACTTGATCTTTTTTTATTTTTTATTATGCCTGCTGTTACTATTCTTCTGGAAGATTAAGAGCCTACATTTTTTCTGGATATAAATTTGAGCGTTTAAATGGGAGGCACACTACTCATAAATAATATATACAATTTCAAGTCCTATGTTACTAGCCAAGCCTTAACGATTACTCAGCCCTGCAAGCATGGAGAATAAATGACTGAATTTTAACTCAGCAAGACTGAACTTTCTCTTATCAATGCCTATTGGCTGGTGGAAATATGGAGCCCTGATAGAACAATACTTGAGGTTTTCTGGAAAATTTGTCATACTGCTCTGATAGAACATAAATGCTATTATAAGAGTAAGGTATGATAGGAAACACATAGATGATAATAATTTTGACTTTTATCCGTTGAACGAATGTTAAATACTGATCACATACATTCATAGATATAATGCTAAAATGAAAGTATATTCAAGAGGAGAGGGGAAGAGATAGAGAAAGGTGGAAGATCAGACTCTGCCTGCTGAGTCACAAAATAAACTTTACAAAAGAGATTTGTAAATTGTGCCGTCCCAGCTGATGTTATTTTTCCATAGTTATAGAAGGTTAACTCTGTTTTGCTAGAAGTCAACAGACCACACATCAATGCATTCATTGTAAAGTAACTCTGTACTTAACCCTATACTAATCATAAAGTGCTTGGTGCCAAAATGTTTTTTTAAATTGCTTCCTCTTCTAAATATCATGGTGCTGGGGGTAACTCGTTTTTTTTTAAAAACTTGCTCTCTAGTTAAAGTGGCCTGAGCGTTATACTGTATTATAAAAGAACAACCAAAGTTTCTATCGGGCACTGAAATTTGTCATCTTTTTCTATCGATCTGAGAAACTCAATGAATTTCTTCTTCTAAAAAAGTGTCAGAATATCCTTTTTCTAAAAACTTATCCTTTAAAATTGTAGTTTGTTATAAAAAAACTTTGTGTGTCTGTGCAGTTATGTTTTATTCTTGTAAATTGGCTTCTTGGAACACTGCGGAGCCAACTTGGATGGTTACCACTATTAGTACGAATAAAGGAATTGGCATGCCCCTGAGGAAGTCCTACATAGGACGAAATGTGTAGGGCTTTTATTATATTTTATTATATTTTATTTGTATCCTGAGTTTGTTGCTGCTCGTTTGTTCCTGTGGACACATGTATCCTTCCTGATTAATTGTGTGATCCAGACAACGGGAGCTTGTTGATGTGCCAAAACTTCGTTTTAGAGTGCAACTTGAACAAAGTCATTTAATTGTATCTGATTTGCTGCACTGTGTTTGTTTTTTTGCTTCCCTTATATGTATGCAACTATTGGGAAGAGGACATAAGAAGGACGTATACGTTTAAGCCTTACTACATGCCTGATACTAACGTACCTTTGTGAATGCAATAATAACCAAAATCTTATTATTGGGGTCATACAGTATCACACTATTTGGGGTTTTTATATATTTTCTGTAGATTGCATAGCTATGTGTATATAACAGAAGATTTGAGGGATCTTCTTACAATTTATTCAAGGATAAATTAATAATTGTTTTCTTTTGACCGATTGTTTGTGGTGTGCACCTTGCCATTGAGTATATTTTTGTGTTTTAGGAAACCGTGTTTGTATTTCTAACGCTAGTGTTCCTTTAACCTCTTTTACTGTAGTTCAAATAGCAATGTTGTGCCCTTTTATGAAAATCTAGTCACACAAAGTCACACTATCACAAAATTTTGATATAGAGAAACTTTTAGGGAAAAGCAAAAATTGAATGCTTTAATAGGACTTGAATTGCCTACAGGAAGGATATCTTCTGGAAAGAAAAAAGAAATCACAATATTTATTGTCATGAACAATTTTATTTTTCGTGATGTCTTTTTATTTATTTTTTAACAAAGTTATATACAGAAAATTGTGGTCACGAAATTGTGGTCATATATTTCAAACTTTATGCAGTTAGTAATTAGAAGTCACAGAAAAAGGAATGAAAATAAAAACAGAATAAATACAACGTAATGTAAAAATGGACGATATTTGTAGTATAACTAAGAAATAATATACCAACTCCTGGATCCGAAAAGGCCTTAGAGACATAAAGGAAATATAGCTAGTTTAGGTAGAATTGTCACAAATGTCTAATAAGTTTTGTTACAGTTTTGTTTGTGCATATATTTTCTTTTGACTTCTCCATGTTTTTGCTTTGTAAACCTCCCCCAACAGGTTTGTCTTGCCCCTCTTTTTTTGTTGTCATTTTCAATGTTTTAAAATCAAGTTTCTGGAAGAGTGGCAGATATTCTAAAAACAGGCAAGCAGGTTTCTATGGTCTTCCTTTTAGTAATAATACTCATTTTTCTCATTTTATGAATGTAATCAGTGTTAAAATCATCATGAGCAAAAAAAAAGTAAAAAAATGTGAAAGAGGATTAAAAAGTGGCAGAAAGACAGATTATTTTGGGTCATCACAGGAAAAGCAGAAAGCAAAGTCACAAATATACACTGAACAAAATAATAAATGCAAAACTTTTGTTTTTGCCCCCATTTTTCATGAGCTGAACTCAAAGATCTAAAACTTTATCTATATACACAAGAGGCCTATTTCTCTCAAATATTGTTCACAAATCTGTCTAAATCTGTGTTAGTGAGCACTTCTCCTTTGCCGAGATAATCCATCCACCTCACAGGTGTGGAATATCAAGATGCTGATTAGACAGCATCATTATTGCACAGGTGTTCCTGAGGCTGGCCACAACAAAAGGCCACTTTAACCCCTTAAGGACAGAGCTTCAGAAGCTTGTCTTATGCTTAAGGACACAAGCCATTTCTGCATTTTTCTGATGTTTGTATTCAAACGCAATTTGCATCTCTGTCATTTATTGCACCAACACATATTATACATAATTTTTTAAAGGGCAAACAGGGCTTTAATTTGATGTCACATATACATAGATATATTCTCATTGATTATATAAAAAT